ATTTCTTGAACACTTCTTTTCTCCAAAGAATGGAGAAAGATTTTTCTCCAGCTAAGGAATCAGCAACTGACATCATCAGAGAAGGGCATGTACGTCCCATGATCCTCCATCATCCTTGGGAATTATTCAGGACCCCTATGTCACTGCCAACAGTCTTGCTGATGATGGATTTAGAGAGCATGAATTCTCGACAAGGAGATTGGCATTGCTTCATTTAAAGGAAAAAGAAATTATGTCAGCCTTTACCCTAACCCATAGTCAAGCAGATTTAGATCTCTTTCTGGAATTAGGTGTCTTTGTTCAAAATACTAATAGTACAAGTCAAAGAGTATTAACTCAGGAGGGCATCAAAGGATAATGTCACCCAATTAAGAAGTTTTACCATCTAAAGAGCTTTACTCTTTTGGAGGAGGGTACTAAGAACCATTTTATTCACCAACTGTAGCACACACAAGAGTTTATCCTCAGGACCTGTGTCTTCCATCCACAGAAAAATTGCAAATTTAAATTTTATTTTAGTGCAAATTATTCACAAAATGTAGAAGAGAAAAGAAAATGTAATTCAAAAGCTCTCTCTCCCCCTCCTCTTCAACCTCTCTTTTTTTAACCCCTACTGTAATGGCACAGCTTGTAGGTTAAATAACCTGTGTAGGTCTGTAGGAATGGATAAATAAAAGCGTCACCAACACACACTTTTTAAAAAAGGATTTCATAAAATTCATTTTCAATAAAACCTAACGCTGGGGCCTCCCCGGTGGCACAGCGGTTGAGCGCTGGGTTGGGAAGCTGCCCGTGGCTTCTGTGGCACCGGTTCCATCCCCGGCAGCTCTCCGGCCACCGGAGGAGGGTCCCACATGGCGCGCAGACCTCTCCTGCCGCCCGCTGCTCCCCTGAGCAGTGTCCTTCGGTCCTTCTGCCTGCGCTGCTCCCCGCTCTGGCTCTGGTGAACTCTCTCACCCTCCCGCGCTTCTGACTGTACCCAGTGCATGTATAAACAAAACAAATAAATAAAACATGCCTCTATAAAAAAAAACCAAAAACCTAATGCTGGAATATAAATTTGCTAAGTATATTAGTATGTTTATCAAGAACAAGCAGCAATCCTCTCAATGATGAAAAATTAAACATTCCCTTATAGACAGAAAAAAACCCCACAAGAATGTCTTCTTCCACCATATTAATGCCTAAGAAATTTATGAATATTTTCTCTAATGCTGTTCCTTATGTTTTCACTCTCTAGCAGTACTCAAAGAGCAAGAGTTCTTTATTTTGATAAAGACTAATTTATCAAATTTGTTTATAGATTGTTTATGGTATTCTAAGAATTCTTTGCCTCTCCCAAGAGCACTAAGATTTTCTCCTGTTTCCTTCTAGATTTATGGTTTTAGGCTCTACATTTAGATCTGTTATCTATTATATTGGTTATTACATATTACTTGAAAGATGAATCAAAATTCTTATTTTGCATAGGGATATCCAAATATTTCAGTACAAGTTGTCAAAAAGACTATTCTTTCTCCAATGCATTGCCTTTTCACCCATGTCAAAACCAATTGACCATATATATGCTGGTCTAGTACTGGAATCTTGATATTCCACTGATTTCATTATCTTTATGCCAATACTACACTGCCTTGATTTTTGTAACTTTACACTAAATCTTGGAAGTCAGGTAGTGTAAGTTCTCCAACCTTTTCTTTTCAAAGTTGTTTTGGCTATTTGAGATACTTTGCATTTCCACATATACTTTGTCAATTTCCACAAAAAAAGTTACTAGAATTTTTATTGGAATTCTGCTAAATCTATAAATCAATCTGGAGAAAATTGGAATCTTAAAAAAATAGTGAATCTTTGATCTATGAACACAACTATCACTGTTGAGAGCTTTCATTTGTCTTCGCAAAGTTTTGTAGCTTTCTGTACATGTCTCCCACATCTTTTGTCAGATTTGTCCCTAAGTGGTTGATAATTACAGAAGTCTGTAAATTACATTTTTTAGTTCAGTTTCCATTTGTTATTTGAGGCATAATTTACATATTGACATATAATCTACCTAAAATTCACAAAATTTACATGTGCAATTTGAAATTTTAAAATGAACAGCTGTGTGAACATCACCAACACAGAATATCACCAACCCTTCAAATGTTCCCTCATCTCCCTTTGTAGCCCCACACCCTTGTCTCAGGCTTTTCAAGAACCACTGATTTGTTTTCTATCATTACAGTTTTATTTTGCATAGAATATGATGTAAATTTAATCAGGTAGATGAGGCTTCAGTGTCTGGTTTATTTACTGGCTTTTGGGATTCAGTGATGCTGATAGATGAGTATTTTATTCCATTATACCTGAAAAGTATAGATTACAACAATTATTCATTTCCCTGTTGTTAGACACTTGAGTTATTCCCTCTTTTGGGTCATTATGAATAAAGCTGCAACAAAGATTTGTGTACAAGTCTGCATGGACATATGCTTTTGTTTCTCTTGGGTAAGAGAATGGACTCTGGACTCCACCAGTTATTTTATCAGTGAAAAGTTAGTATTTTATCAGTGCTAGCTAGGTTACTGAAAAGACAAAATGTAAACACTATCAGACTTCCTACCAGATTCAAATGCAAGGAGCTTAGAAGGAGCCCTCCTATCCTAACAAGAAAAAAGCACTCAAAGCTGAAAAATTAACAACTTTTTCGGGCTGAGGTGAAGACACAAGGGCAAACTGTTGCCTCCATGATGACAGAGACATATAGGGGGATACAGGAAGCTGTGGCTTATCTAAGCTGAAGAGACCCACAAGCAGAAACTACCCAGGGAGCAGATGCTGAGGTAGGAGAAGCTGAACTGAGATAGGAGAAACTGAATTGGGGCATCTCAGTGTAGACAAGTGTGAGTTAAAAACTCCAGGGGTCCCTGTCCCCAAAATATTGATGACCAATAACCAGAGAACCCCTGTGTGGGAAGTTGCTGGAAAAATTATCGTCATTTTCTAATGGCCTGTGTCTTCCTTATGTATTAGGAAATTTTGGATGTGAAGTATGCTAATACAGAAAATGCTGTGTTTATGGGTTTCCAAAATATTTGGGCAGTGAAGATGACAACAGAGCTCTGGCTAAGTAGTGTGCATCTTTAGTCTCCTTAGATAAAACAAATTATCAGAAAATCTCCAAGGACAAGATGAAAACACTAATAAATACAGTAGATAGAATCTGACTACATTAATAATCACTTTGAGTATCAATGATCTAAATGTACCAATTAAAGAGAAATTGTCAGAGAGGATCAAAAAACAAGACCCAAACATATACTGTCTACAAGTAACCCAGTTTAAATATAAAGGCATATACAAATTAAAATTAAAGGGATGTAGCAAGCCCCTTCATGCCTACAGCCAGCCCCCAGTGCCAGCACTGGTCTCACTGTCACCGGCGACATGGGGCCAAGCTCCTAAAGCTGTAAGTGCAAAATCAACAGTTCAGCAGGGAACACACCCAAGTTAATTTTACAAAGCCAGCATTATCCTCTTACAAAAGCCAAATAAGGACATTTCAAGAGAAGAAAACTACAGCTCCATATCCCTGATGATAGATTCAAAAAGTTTCAGTAAATACTGACAGAATTCAACAGTGCATTACAGGATTGTGCCCCAAGGTCCATGGGACACAGGGATGGTTCAACATCTGCAAATCAGTAAGTGTGATTAATGAAATAATATTTAAAAATAAGTAATAATAGGGGCTTCCCCGGTGGCGCAGCGGTTGAGCGCTGGGTTGCGAAGCTGCCCGCAGCCTCTGCGGCGCCGGTTCGATCCCCGGCTGCTCCCCGGCCACCGGAGGAGGGTCCCGCATGGCGCGCAGATCTCTCCTGCCGCCCGCTGCTCCCCTCAGCAGTGTACTTCGGTCCTTCTGCCTGCTCTGCTCCCTGCTCTGGCTCTGGTGAATTCTCTCACCCTCCCGCGCTTCTGACTGTACCCAGTGCATGTATAAACAAACAAACAAACAAATAAATAAAACATGCCTCTATTTAAAAAAAAAAAAAAAAAAAAATAAAAAAAATAAAAATAAGTAATAATATAAAATCCCAGGACTAGCTAGTCTCTGGATACCTGCCTGATATGGTAGAAGGAACAGTGCAGCAAGAATAAATATATTTTAACATATGACACAGCAATTGAGTCTTATTAATATCAACCTCAGGGCCTCCCTGGTGGTGCAGCAGGTTGAGCGCTGCCCTGTCAAGCTGTCCGCAACCTCTGCAACACGGGTTCAACTCCCGGCTGGCCAGGGAGAAACCCACATGGCGTGGCAGACCTCTCCTGCCTCCCCTTCTGCTCCCCCAGCAGTGTCTTTGGTCCATCTGCCTGTTCTGCTACCCGCTTTGTCTCTGGTGAATTCTCTCACCCTCCCGCGCCTCTGACTTGTACCCCAGTTCTTGTATAAATAAATAAATCTTTTTTTTTAATAGAGGCATTTTTTAAATTTATTTATTTGGTTGTTTGTTTGTTTTGTTTTGTTTATACATGCACTGGGTACAGTCAGAAGCACGGGAGGGTGAGAGAATTCACCAGAGCCAGAGCGGGGAGCAGAGCAGGCAGAAGGACCGAAGTACACTGCTGAGGGGAGCAGCGGGCGGCAGAGGAGGTCTGCGTGCCATGTGGGACCCTCCTCCGGTGGCTGGGGAGCAGTCGGGGATCGAACTGGAGCCGCAGAGGCCACGGGCAGCTTCGCAACCCAGCGCTCAACCGCTGTGCCACCGGGGAGGCCCAATAAATAAATCTTTTAAAAAATAAATAATATCAACCTCATTAATTCAGAGTTAATGATATATCATGAATGTTTTAAAGGAAAAAAACATGTTCTCTGGAACATTCTATTCGTATATATTTCTCATTATGATAATTCTTACCTACTCATTAAGACTGACTCAAGTGATCTTTATTAGGGTATGTTGTTGGTTCAGACAGTGATGTAAGTTTCATTTCATTTTCATTTTAGAAATTCACCAAAGATGGTTCATTTCTTCCTTACATACACCATTTACTATCATGGAATTTTTTAAAATGCAGGAACAGTAAGTACAATACTATCTTTAAGACACGCGCTGGATGAAATATGTTTATAGTGTTAACTGGTTATCTTTACTTTTTTTAAAATAAATTTTTTTATATTCCCCATACAATTGCAACCCCCTTATTTTGACCCCAATCCCTCCCCTCCCCGCTCCCCACCCCCCATAGAGTGTCTCTGGTTCATAGTTGTTTGTTGATTTTGATTTTCACTTTCTTATAGTTATTCATTTTCCTGGTCCCTTATTTAAGTTTTCTAGATTCCTGCTATGAGTGAGACCATCCGGTATTTTTCTTTTTCTTTCTGGCTTATTTCGCTGAGCATGATCCCTTCCAGTGCCATCCATGTTGCTGCAAATTGCATGTGTTTATCTTTTTTGAATGCTGAGTAATATTCCATGGTGTATATGTACCACATCTTCTTGATCCAGTCATCTATTTTTGGGCATTTGGGTTGTTTCCAAAGCTTAGCTATTGTAAACAGTGCTGCTATAAACATAGGGGTGCGGGTGCTCTTTGGAACTGATGTTTGTGTCCTTTGGGTAAATACCTAGGAGTGGAGTTGCTGGATCATATGGAAGCTCTATGTTTAGTAGGTTAAGAAATCTCCACACAGCTCTCCATAGTGGTTGGACCAGTTTGCACTCCCACCAACAGCGCAGGAGAGTTCCTTTTTCTCCTCAATTTCGCCAACATTTGTTGTTGCTAGTTTTTTTAATATGTGCCATTCTCACTGGTGTAAGATGGTATCTCATGGTAGTTTTGATTTGCATTTCCCTGATGACAAGTGATGTTGAACATTTTTTCATATGCCTGTTGGCCATTTGCATTTCCTCTTCAGAGAAGTTTCTTTATAGCTCTTCTGCCCATTTTTTGACTGGATTATTTTCTTTGTTTTTGTTGAGTCTCATCAGCTCTTTGCAGATTTTTGTGATCAGTCCTTTATCATTAGTGTTGTGTGCAAAAATGTTCTCCCAGTTGGTGGGGTTTCTCTTTGTTTTTGTTATTGTCTCTTTTGCTGTGCAGAAGCTCTTTAATTTGATGTAGTCCCAGCTGTTGATCTTTGCCTTCACTATCACTGCTTTGGGTGATGTGTCTGTAAAGATGTCTTTGAGGTGCATATCATGTAGTGTTTCGCCTATATTTCCTTCTATGTATTTTATGGTTTCAGGTCTTATGTCTAGTTCTTTAATCCATTTTGAGTTGGTTTTTATGTATGGTGTGAGGTAGTGGTCAAGCTTCATTCTTTTGCATGTAGCGACCCTAACTGGTTATCTTTAAACCATATAATATAGTGGTTAAGAAGATGAGATCTGAAATCAGATAGCCTGGTTCACATTCTCGCCCCTGTACTTATTAGCTGTGTGATATCAAACAATCCCTGTTCCTTAGCTATAAATTAGAGGTTTTGTCAGTATATACCTTAAGAGTATTCAATGAGTTAATAAATGTAAAATTCTTAGAACAGAAACCTATATAAAGTAACACTTGTGGAAAAAACATTTTTATTTGCTTGTTTATACATGCTATATCTCTACACAATGAGCTAGTAAAAGTGGTTGCTTGTGAGGAACATGGGGAGACTTTTAACACTGTAAATAAACCTTTATTCCTTTTTCGGTCCATGTAAGTTTATATCTTTTAAAAAATTAATTTGAGAATATATGTAGATTATAGATTTAAATTATATTTTAACTAAATTATAAATTCACAAGATCACTCATGAATTAGAGAGGCTAAATGCTTTAACAGACCCAAACTCAATGGAAATTCATATATTGTTCAAATGTCCCAAGGTACTATATCATTCTTTCTTGCGTTCACCCAGCCCTTCCCATACCTTTGTAAAAAGTCCTTTTATTAAACTCTCTTCAAATTGCCCAATTTGAGGGGCCTCTCTGGTGGTGCAAGGACTTAAGCACAGCACAGTGAAAATATCCCCAGTCAGGGAGCTGCCCACATGGTGCGCAGACCTCTCCTGTCTCGCCCACTGCTCCCCTCAGCATTGTATTTCAGTCAGTCTGCCTGTTCTGCTCCCCACTCTCCCTCTGGTGAATTCTCTCACGGTGCCACCCTCCCCGCACCTCTGGCCTATACCCCAGTTCTTGTATGCATAAATCAATCAATCTTTAAAAAAAAATTGCCCAGTTTGAAAAAAAATGGCCAAGTTTGAGTGTGCCATCTAAGACTAAGAAGTATGGTTTCTGTCACCTTGAAGGGTGACGGATGAGCCCAATCAGATGAGTTTTGTTTTTTTTTTTTTTTATAGAGGCATGCTTTATTTATTTATTTGTTTGTTTGTTTGTTTGTTTTGCTTATACATGCACTGGGTACAGTCAGAAGCTCTGGGTACACCAGAGCCAGAGCGGGGAGCAGAGCAGGCAGAAGGACCGAAGTACACTGCTGAGGGGAGCAGCGGGCGGCAGGAGAGGTCTGCGTGCCATGTGGGACCCTCTTCTGGTGGCCGGGGAGCAGCCGGGGATCGAACTGGCGCCGCCGCAGAGGCCGCGGGCAGCTTCGCAACCCAGCGCTCAACCGCTGCGCCACCGGGGAGGCCCGAGTTTTGTTTTCTTTTTAACCGTTGCTTTCACTCCATCTCGTGGGCATGATCCACCCCACAGGATCTCTGCTAATTGAAAGGACATATACAAAATAAAATAAAATAGAATAATTAAAAAAAATAAAGTCCTTCATCCATAAGAAAAAAATAAGAGGCATTCTGAGAAGTTATAGTATGTGAAGCTTTTCATAATGCATGATCCATGCAATCATATACGTTTGCATGGTCTAAAATTTAAGCAGAATTGCATATTGGCAAGATCTGTGGCACAGATTCTAGAGTTCACAATTTAGTCTTATAGTTTTTGCTCTATAATAATAAATTTGTTTCTTGCATTTAAAAAAAAAAGGACACATACAGCCTTTTGGCTTTTCTATGATCTATGGGTTTTCCCAGCTGTTTTAAGTGTATAACATTGAGCAATCACTTAGAAAATGTTAAGAATAAAGAAGATCAAGATTTTTTTAATGTCTGACATGCTTCCATGATTATCAAGGCAGTACTAAGACACTGTGTGATATGTTCACATATAATACATACTTTGTGTGATACATTTTATATTGTTATTGGTACAGAATAAAAATTCTAAAAGACCTTTTGTTTGGTCAAGAAAAAGCCAAAACTAGCAAGCTGACCACAGATATGAGGCATACTTCAAGTGGCATGGGAGCGGGTGGGGGGCGTGGACAGGGAGGTCAAAACAGGGAAGAGAAGAACACAAGCAAATGTGGTGATCGTTCAAGGGTGATACAGTGGCAGAACTATGGGCACTACACCTGAAGGGAGAAACCAATTACTGTACCAAAATGAACAGCAACATAAGAAAATTAAATTTTAAAAGATGCTAAAAGAGCTATGTGAGTGATTTTTAAAAGCACTAAAGTTGACACTTTGGAAGAGATAGGGAACAGCTGCAAGTTCAACTGGGGAAGATATATCTCTGCAGTATCTAAACTCATGGTGTTTATTTGTCTACGGTTAAATGCTTTTAGTGAGAGAACTTAGAAATGCCAATAGCATGTTGTTGAATATAAGCTGTCAGGAAAGTTCTGTAAGTTAAGGCTGTAGGCTAAGCTATAATGTAAGCTATAGTAAATCTGCAAATACTGTTTATCTTAGTGAACAGTATTTTTTTAAAGATTTATTTATTCATGCATACAAGAACTGGGGTACAGACCAGATGTGTGGAGGGGGTGGTGAGCGGGGAACAGAACAGGCAGACTGACTGAAACACACTGCTGAGGGGAGTAGCAGGCGAGGCAGGAGAGGTCTGCCACACCATGTGGGTAACTCCCTGGCTGGCCAGGATCGAACCCGCGCTGCAGAGGCTGCGGACAGCTTCACAGCACTGCACTCAACCACCTGCGCCACCAGGGAGGCTCCATGTGAATAGTATTAATATTTTGTGGTAAGTGATTTCATAAACAGACACATTGGGGCAAAACAACACAACGTGCTTGGAGGGGTAGAGGGCCAACTATTCAGTTGGCAGGCTCTGGAGTTAGGATTTTATCAAATACACTGAGAAATCATAGACAGGCTTGGGCAGGAAAATGACATAGATTCATGCACATCTGAAGCAGAATCATGTACCTGCTTTGTGATAACTAAATGGAGAGCACAGAAGCAGAGAAACCAGACTGGAGACTGTTGCCATGGTCCAGATAAGATGCACCGGACACTCAGACTAGAGTGGTGACCAAAACCTTCTATAATTTGAAAATGAAACTACTTTGATTGGCAATAGATCTATGTGGGTTATGCAAGGAAGAAAAGTATTAGAGCTGACCCCTAGCTTTCTGGCTTGAGCTCCTGGGCGGATTTCACGGGATTTGTGGGATGAAAAAAAATGAAGTTGTTTATTCATCAAAACCCTAATAAATTTCTCAGAAAGTTGATGTTCGTAATTGTTTTGTTTGTAATTATATTTTGTTTCCCTAAACAAAAATCATGATCTCTTCAAGTATCAAAGTTTGCACATACTTGGAAAACAGTGTTAAGTAGCAGATGTCAGCAGGCCAGATCAAAATAGGAGAGGCCAAGACCTCTGACTCAAAAGAAAAATATGAGAAATTAAGGAGGACAAGATCTGCACTGGCTAATGGAGCACGAACTACTCTAGCTGTTTTCTGCCAAACCAAAGTTAGGGAAAAGAGACCAAATGCCATGCTTGTACAGGTTTAAATAGTCCAGGGTTAAGGTAAGGAACCATAATTCCTGTCCTCTTGGTCAAATGAAAATTGATCTTTAAATGGAACTCTACTCTAGAAAGAGAAAAGAGAACTTCCCCACCCTCTTTTGGTCCTGAAAAACCTTTTATGAGATCATTCCAATATCCAGCAATACCACTTAACTCAGCTTAGTAGTTTATAATCCAACTATTGTCTCCCTATTCTGGTCTCAAAATCTGGAAAACCGGAGTGATTGTCCTTGTGACAATAATTT